AACAATGAGCGGGATATTGGCTGGGAAGGCACAATAATCTGGCAAGGAGGAAGTGCATGGACATGGCTTTTATAGGAAGTTCATGGGAGGAGCAAGGAGTTCAGGGTTCAAGGCAAACAGGGCCAAGGCAGGATCATCCAATGAATTGTCAAGGGAGCTGTCCAGGATTCCAGGTGGCTCAGTGAGAAGAAACATTGCCTCTCACTGCAGAAGGCCCAGGCTCTGACATCAGGTTTCTAATTTGTGCACAGTCATGTTGGAATTGAAAGGGACATTTCCAAGAAGGACTGTTGCCACAAGGCTGGAATTGCAGAGGAAGGCTAAAATCCTTCTAATCTAAAAAGATTTGTGAGGTCAGGTACTGATGTTGGATGAGAAGACCTGGCTCACCATTGAACATTCCAATCCATCCCAAAGGTGTTCAGTAGGATGAAGGTTGGACTCTGTGTATGACACTCGAGTTCCTCCACAGCAAACTGGTCAAACCACATCTTTATGGAGCTGGCTTTGTACACAGGGGCACAGCCATGGTTGAAGAGTCTTCACCAAACTGTTACCACAAGGTTGAACATTCTATTCCAAAACCATGGCAATTAATATAGAATTGCCTTACCTGTGCAGCTATACCATCCTCCACTCTTCTGGGAAGACTTTCGACAAGATTTTGGAGGGTGTCTATGAGAATTTATTCCATTTGTGATGTCAGGTACTGGTGTTGGATGAGAAGACCTGGCTCAGAATCGGGGTTCTGATTCACCTCAAAAGTGTTCAGTGGGGTTGAGATAAGGGCTCTGTGCAGGACACCCGAGTTCTCCACAAAAAAACTGGTCAAACCTTGTCTTTATGGAGCTGGCTTTGTACACAGGGGCACAGTCATGGTGGAACAGAAAAGAGTCTTCACCAAACTGTTACCACAAGGTTGAGGAGCTGTACATCCTATTCCAAAACCATGGCCATTAATATAGAGTTGCCCTACCTGTGCAGCTATGCCATCCTCCACTCTTCTGGGAAGACTTTCCACAAGATTGTGGAGGGTGTCTGTGGGAATTTACTCCATTTGTGATGTCAGGTACTGGTGTTGGATGAGAAAACCTGGCTCACAATTCCAATTCACCCCAAAGGTGTTCAGTGAGGTTGAGGTCAGGACTCTGTGCTGGACACCCGAGTTCTCCACAAAAAAACTGGTCAAACCTTGTCTTTATGGAGCTGGCTTTGTACACAGGGGCACAGTCATGGTGGAACAGAAAAGAGTCTTCACCAAACTGTTACCACAAGGTTGAGGAGCTGTACATCCTATTCCAAAACCATGGCCATTAATATAGAGTTGCCCTACCTGTGCAGCTATGCCATCCTCCACTCTTCTGGGAAGACTTTCCACAAGATTGTGGAGGGTGTCTGTGGGAATTTACTCCATTTGTGATGTCAGGTACTGGTGTTGGATGAGAAAACCTGGCTCACAATTCCAATTCACCCCAAAGGTGTTCAGTGAGGTTGAGGTCAGGACTCTGTGCTGGACACTCGAGTTCCTCCACGCAAAACTGGTCAAACCATGTCTTTATGGAACTGGCTTTGTGCACAGTCATGCTGGAACAGAGAAGAGTCTTCACCAAACCAATACCACAAGGTTGGATGAGCACTGTTGTCTTCAATATCATATTATGTAGTAACAGTAACCATCACTGGAGACACCTGAGCTCAATAATCTGGAGGAATGTCCACATGCAATGAACCATATAGTGTACCAGTTGGAGTGGGACGACCCTTTCTTGGACTATTAGATGTGTTCTCTACAAGCAGAATTACCATTAAAGGTGGAGGTTTTTTTAGTCATGAGCCTGCAATGAAAGGAGTAATGTTGGATGGGAAGACCCAGCTCACCTGGCTTTCCAATTCCTCCCAAAGGTGCTCAGTAGGGGTGAGGTCAGGGCTCTGTGCAGGACACTTGAGTTCCTCCACATCAAATTTGACAAACCATATTTTTATGGAGCTGGCTTTGTACACAGGACCACAGTCATGGAGGAACAGAAAACGGTCTTCACCAAACTATTACCACAAGGTTGGAAGAATTGTCTACGTCTTTGATTGTTTATCAGTATTGCCTGATTTTATAGTTTTGAACTGGAATGTCCACCAAGCTCAGGTATCCACCAACCTTTGGCTATGTAGTGCAGGCCTTGAAATTTCCACTCACCTGCTCACCAGTGGCGAGTGGAAATTATGGTGGGGGCGAGTGTGTCCCCCAAGGCCGTCTTGCTGAGCAGGCTTTGGAGCTCAGGCCGGATCTGTCATTGGCTCTGGGAGCCGCCAGACTGCTCAATAGCTGAGCGCAGTGAAAGCAAAGCAAGGAGTGTGTGCTGTGCTCTCTGCCTCCCCCTAGAGTGCAGTACCCGGCTCTGTGAGTGAATAACGAAGTACTGCAACTTTTTATGGGGGGGGGGGGTGAGTATGTGTCTACCTAATTTCAGCTCACTCTGGTCACATGATCTTCTATGTCAGCCAGTGGTGGCTTCAGGGGAGAGGAGAGAGCACTTAACAGCGTGCGTGCGTATACATGTGTGTGTGTTCGTGTGTGTCTGTGTGTATGTACATGTGTGTATCTGTACATGTGTCTGTGTGTATGTACATGTATGTGTGTGTACATGTGTCTGTGTATGTACGTACATGTGTCTGTGTGTACATGTGTCTGTGTATGTATGTACATGTGTCTGTGTGTATGTACATGTGTCTGTGCATGTGTATTTCTGTGTATGTACATGTATCTCTGTGTATGCGTGTCTGTACGTGCCTGTGTGTGTATACATGTGTATGTATGTGTGTGTGTGTACATGTGTCTCTGTGCGTGTGTGTACATGTTTCTGTGTGTATGTACATGTGTGTGCATGTGTCTCTGTGCATGTGTGTACATGTTTCTGTGTGTATGTACATGTCTGTGTGTGTGTACAGGTGTCTCTGTTTGTGTGTGTATGTACATGTATCTGTGTGTATGCGTGTCTGTACGTGCCTGTGTGTGTATACATGTGTATGTATGTGTGTGTGTGCATGTGTCTCTGTGTGTGTGTGTACATGTTTCTGTGTGTGTATGTACATGTCTGTGTGTGTGTACAGCTGTCTCTGTTTGTGTGTGTATGTACATGTATCTGTGTGTATGCGTGTCTGTATGTGCCTGTGTGTGTATACATGTGTATGTATGTGTGTGTCTACATGTGTCTCTGTGCGTGTGTGTACATGTTTCTGTGTGTATGTACATGTCTGTGTGTCTACATGTGTCTCTGTGCGTGTGTGTACATGTTTCTGTGTGTATGTACATGTCTGTGTGTGTACAGGTGTCTCTGTCTGTGTGTGTTTGTTGGTGGCGAGTAACTCTTAAGGCCTGGCTAGTAGCTCAGGACTTGAAATTTTCCACCCTGATGTAGTGTATATCCAACCCCAGACATGAAGCATCCTGCACCACACGGTTGGAGGAGCACAATTGTCTGCAGTGTCTGGATGATGGAGTATTACCAGGACCCTCCGCTGGAAACACCTGAACTCCATAAATTGGAGAGGTGTCCACATAATTTAGGTAAGTTTGATAGTCAAGTGTTCACAAATTTTTGGCTTTATAGTTTACAGTATACAGGGACAAACCTGTGTGTGACGGGAGTCACTTTGGGTGGGGGGCCTATGAAACCCAGCTCCCTTTGGAGAGGTGGGGAGACCCCTGTCTCTGATCCCCATATCCCTCTTATGTGTAAGTCACCCTGTGCCTGTTAAGGGTGCAGGGTGATCTGTCCTCATATTGTGTAGACATGTCTAGGAGAAAGGCGGGGTGGGGGGTTGTGGATTGTTTGGTGTTATGTGGTGTGTCCCATTGTTCTATTATGTGTCTTGCTTGGGAGCAAACTATTATGGGATGTATGTGTTTGTGTATTGGCTTGGTGAGGGGGTGTCTCCAGCAGCCCTCCCTCCTGATGGGACTGTCTGTTGGTGCATCTCTTGTTACTAAATGTAGATTGCCCCGCCCTGTGTCATGTAGGGAGGGGGGATTGTTCCATATATCTTGTATCTGTGTTAAAATAAAAGAGTTCCATGTTCAGACAGACTGGTGTCATCTGGTCTTGTATGGTCGGCTGTGGTGTCTGTTGTCGGTGTTTGGACGGGGAAGCGGTAGTCTAACGGAAGTACCCAAGTGCAGTCGGGGTCGGTTCTGTTACACTGTGTTATAAGGATTTTATAGTTTACCTTCTTTCTCTTTGGATGAATATTAATGAATTCAGTTGTCACTTGGAAGACCTCTGCTGAAATTGTCATGGTTCCTTGCAGGGGCGGACTAACCATTTGGAAACTCGGGCACTGCCCGAGGGCCTGGGATCAGTAGGGGGCCCCATGAGATGCCCCTGGTACCTTTTTCATAAGCTTTTTTGAGTTTGGGCAAGGACACAGGGGCCCCATGATCCCCTATTGCCCGGGGGCCCCATGAGTTGTCAGTCCACCCCTGGTTCCTTGTATAGCCCAGTTGTACTAAACGATCATAAAAAGTCGTAATTCTCTTTTGTCTATTGACAGACTCAGGATTATTATGGAGCCATGGGTTATGTTGCCACCTACAGTGGGTACTAGGCAAAACTGTAGACCAGCCCTAGCGGCCATAGCCCCACCCACAAAACCATGCTCAGTTTAGTTTCGTGTCCTTTGGCGGATGGAGAACCTCTCAGTTCTGCTGTGTTCAGGACTTTGTAGGATTTTCGCCGGCCAACAGCCGCTGGTAGATTCAAGATAAATCTTGCTAAACATAACATATGTCTGTGTTGCCTACATGACCGATCGGGTCCACCCCTCCAGTGGAAAGTGGCATGTCGGAAATGACAATTATGGTTTTTGTTTTTTTAGGATACAAGATCTCCTGGGAGGAGTTTAACCAGACCAATACCAGAGTGACGCATTACCTCCCCAACATCACCCTGGAGTACCGTGTGACCAGCCTCACCTCTCTCACCACCTACACCATCCAGGTGGCCGGGATGACTTCCAAGGGCCAGGGGGCCGTGGCCTCATCCACGATCTCCTCCGGAGTGCCTCCAGGTCAGTGTACCAAAGCAGCTCTCCTGAAAACAGTATCACGGGAATAAAAGCCGCACCCGATTGTCTGGTCTTCTTTATTGTATCTTTCCTCTTTATTACAGACACAAGGCAGCACCGGAATACGACGGGGGGCAGATCTAAAGCGTATACCTTGTGCCCTTTACTAAAGATATGCAAATGTTGTGATCAAATGCTTGCTTGCTAATTTTTGAGTCAGCACAGGGAAGACTTGCATTAAGTTTATGAATATGGAAGAGAACAGCGTCTTCTTTGAACTCTGAGGAGTCTGGTTATAAAAATAAATTGCAGTACAGATGTCACAGCATGTGCACAGCCATTGCAATGAATCCCCATAAAGTGTCTGTTTCTTTCCTATGATCATCAGCTCCATCTAGTGGCCATAATGTGGTATTTTCTCAAAAAAAACCTCAATAGGAAAAATAGTGCATTATGGCCACAAAATTGAGCCGATTATCATTAGAAATAAACGTATTAGACACATTATGGGGATATAAATAAATATATCAATATATATGTATGATGTAACTAACATAAACACATGCGCTCTAGAGCGCTATATCCAATGGGGAAGATAATGTCTTGGTATTGACGTTTAAGGGCAGCACAGTGGCTTAGTGGTTAGCACGTCTGCCGTGCAGTAATTGGGTCAAGGGTTCGATTCCCGAACATGGCGCCTCCTGCATGGAGTTTGCATGTTCTCCCTGTGTTCGCGTGGGTTTCCTCCGGGTACTCCGGTTTCCTCCCACACTCCAAAGACATGCTGGTAGGTGAATTGGCTCCTGTCTAAATTGGCCCTAATATGTGTATGTATAAATGAAAGTTAGGGACCTTAGATTGTATGCTCCTCTTTGGGGAGGTGGGGGCAATGTGGTATGGGGGGGGTCCTCTTTATCAAGACCGGCAAGGCTTGAGAAAGAGGAAACACCCTCGAAACATATTGCTGTCCTCCTACATGATGCACAGTTCAGGTAGGAGACCATGTGGCAGCAGCGGGTAACACTGCTTTGGGTCAGCATTGTGAGTGGGCTCTACCAACCGGCTTCAGCATGTCTCTCTTCCACTCTTCCATCATTCACTGAGCCAAGTGCAGACTCATTTGTGTTGGCTACCAGTCATCTGAATGTGACTATTGCTACTATGTGCTGTTGTTACTTTGTAAATCAGAGTCTGCACTCCTCTTTATCTTCTTCAGCAATCTCTCCTTCCCATCTCTTGCCCACACCCTACTTTCCCTGCTCAAAATTGGACCCATGGTCTCTATGAAGGTTTGCATTGCTGGTCAATGCCTTTTGGCCCTCAGAAGGCCTTCAGATGAGTCATGGGTTAAGTCCCCGTAAGTTGCTTTCATGTAGCACTACCCCCATAGGAGTTGCTAAAGATTTGGGTCCATCTGAAATCCTGCACAGCCAGGCAACATGCATTTTCCATAGACTTGCATTCAGAGTCAGTAAACAGTCCTTGAGCTTGGTTTTATTTTTTATTAAGGGGTGTTAAACGTGGATGGGGTAAGGGGGGTATGGGATGCCCAATGGAACTGCAAACCAAGGACAAACTCCGTAGCAACTATGTACAAGTATTTACTCAGCAGAAACTCTCCTTGGAGAGCCCTCCAGCCTCTCCTGATGTACCACCCCAGACCCCGGATAATCCTCTTCTTAGCCGGCTGCTTGAGGGAATCCCTGGGCAAGGGAATCAAGTCCCGGGTAAGTAGCTAATCAGGTTTCCCACTAAAGTGCATTTTGCCCCTTAGCTGGCGCAGGGGGTCTCTGCCCTACTAACTGATTTAAGTAAGTGGTGGCCTTCTGCTGGGCTGGCTCTTTTCCAGGCTGTACAGGTGGTCCTCGCTCTAGGGGCCAGTGAGGATGAGCGATCCTCTTTTCCAACTTCCTGCCTGTAGGTAGACCCCTTCCCATTGGACCTACTCCCAGGCTCCTGCATCTCAGCTTTCCTCACATCCTCCACCTGCTACTGAGCAGGCTCATTCATACTTAAGGGCTGCTCTTGTCCCAAGCCAAGCCTCCTGCTTCGAGATTGACCAGAATCCTTTGAGTATGCAGACCAGCCCCTTCTTGCCCCTGCCCACTGCTTCTAGAATCTTCTCCAAGATTGTAGAGCAGGGGAAGGTATCAAAGAACTGATCTGCAGAGCCTGTCAACCCTGACCCTAATTTGACCCAGCTGACTATTGCCCCAGGCTGCCACTCAGCCTTTCCAACTAATCACCCATTATTTTTATTGGATATTTTAGCCCCCTGTGTGGGCGTATATATTATCCCTACATAATACCCAATAAAATGACTGAAACAGAAAAAGTTTAAAAATGGCTGACGGGTTACCTTTACGAGACACTTGTCATGAGGGAAGGATAAGTAGGTTGTCATTGCTGGTGTCATTTTGAAAATGCTGGGGGCCTGGCCGTCTTTGGCTCTAATACTTTGACATTTCTCTCTTCCCGTAGAACTGCCTGGAGCGCCAACAAATGTCGCCATCAGCAACATCGGCCCTCGTTCTGTCACGCTACAGTTCCGGCCGGGGTATGATGGGAAGACCTCCATCTCCAGGTGGCAAGTGGAAGCCCAGGTGAGGGCGAGGGACTCTCCTCAGCCAAACCTTTGTAGTATATTATTGAATTAATTGAGTTTGGGGCAGTTCAATCAAACCTGTATAGTGCATTCTAATGACGTTGTTGTGTTGGCACCACAGAGGATCTGAACGTGCCTGGCTTCCATTCAGGGCAGGTGTGCCATAAAATACTCAAGTTTGGGTTTTTTGAGGCTAATAGGCAAACAAATACCATGGGGGTGGGGCGGTCTGTGCACTACCCTGGTGAACATGTACCAAAGCAAAATTGTTATTTTAAATTCTGTTTTATCATTCGTGTTAATAATGCTTACAGGGAATTTCTAAATTTCTTTAAATAACCTGCCTGGGGTGCCCTTAATGTGCCTGTGAAGTGACGTCTCTGTACAATGTATACAGCCTACTACAGCAATACTGACATTTACAGAGGAAATACTGTCTAAATTGCTGGTAAATGATAGTGCCCCATTATTGGTGTCAGTGGGAGGAATAGTGCCCCATTATTGGTGTCAGTGGGAGGAATAGTGCCCCATCATTGGTGTCAGTGGGAGGAATAGTGCCCCATTATTGGTGTCAGTGGGAAGAATAGTGCGCCATCATTGGTTTCAGTGGAAGGAATAGTGCCCCATCATTGGTGTCAGTGGGAGGAATAGTGCCCCATCATTGGTTTCAGTGGAAGGAATAGTGCCCCATCATTGGTGTCAGTGGGAGGGATAGTGCCCCATCATTGGTGTCAGTGGGAGGAATAGTGCCCCATCATTGGTTTCAGTGGAAGGAATAGTGCCCCATCATTGGTGTCAGTGGGAGGAATAGTGCCCCATCATTGGTGTCAGTGGGAGGAATAGTGCCCCATCATTGGTGTCGGTGGAAGGAATAGTGCCCGTCATTGGTGTCAGTTAGAGGAATAGTGCCCCATGGGTGATGTCAGTGGAAGGAATAGTGCCCCATCATTGGTGCCAGTGTGGGGAATAGTGCCTCATCCTTGGTGTCAGTGAGAGGAATAGTGCCCCATCATTGGTGTCAGTGGGAGGAATAGTGCCCCATCTTTGGTATCAGTGGGAGGAATAGTGCCCCATCGTTGGTGTCAGTGGGAGGAATAGTGCCCCATCATTGGTGTCAGTGGGAGGAATAGTGCCTCATCCTTGGTGTCAGTGTGGGAATAGTGCCCATTTGTTAGCATCAGTGGGAGGAATAGTGCCCCATCATTGGTGTCAGTGGGAGGAATAGTGCCCCATCATTGGTATCAGTAGGAGGAATAGTGTCCCATCATTGGTGTCAGTGGGAGGAATAGTGCCCCATTATTGGTGTCAGTGGGAGGAATAGTGCCCCATCATTGATGTCAGTGGGAGGAATAGTGCCCCATCATTGGTGTCAGTGGGAGGAATAGTGCCCCATTATTGATGTCAGTGGGAGGAATAGTGCCCCATTATTAGCATCAGTGGGAGGAATAGTGCCCCATCATTGGTGTCAGTAGGAGGAATAGTGTCCCATCATTGGTGTCAGTGGGAGGAATAGTGCCCCATTCTTGGTGTCAGTGGGAGGAATAGTGCCCCATTATTGGTGTCAGTGGGAGGAATAGTGCCCCATTATTGGTGTCAGTGGGAGGAATAGTGCCCCATTATTAGCGTCAGTGGGAGGAATAGTGCCCCATCATTGGTGTCAGTGGGAGGAATAGTGCCCCATCATTGGTGTCAGTGGGAGAAATTGTGTCTCACTGTATGTAGCAACGGGAGGAACAGAGAGCCAAGGACTGATTAAAGTCTAAGCAAAGGGATGCATGTGGTCTGCAGGCCAGAGTTTGGGGATCACTGGTCTAGAGAAACATTTCTTGCATGGAAGTATATTGTAGGTACAATTAGAACCGATGCCTGTCTGTGGGATTTCCCTCTCTGAGTATCTCTGTGCTTCTGGTTTAGGTCGGTACACAAGGGGAATCTGAAGACTGGGTTCTCATACATCAGTTGCCCAATGAGCCCAATGCCCGAGCCATGGTGGTCCCGACCCTAAACCCGTACACTTTTTACAGGTGGGTGAATTCCTTCTTCATGTAGAAACTTTCACGGCATGTCAATGATTTTGATGCAATCGGCCTTCCTAATGTAATTCTTCAATATTTCAGTTTTCGGATGAGACAAGTGAATATTGTGGGCACCAGTCCACCCAGTCTACCCTCCAGGAAGATACAGACTCTTCAGGCTCCTCCTGATATGTTCCCAGCAAATGTGACCCTCCGCACAGCCAGTCAGACCAGCCTGTGGGTGCGCTGGGTGGTAAGTAGCACTTCATGGTAGGGTTGCTAAAGTTGCATCTTCAGTCTTCCCAAAACGGATATTTTTAGCAGATCTCGAACAGTTGGGTCAACTGGACGTCCAGCATCTGCCCACTCTGAAGTCACAAGATGGAATGTTTGGCTTAGCCAAGTGCTGGTGGTCCCGTAACATAGAGGAGGGGGGGCACAGTTCTGGTAGATGTTGCAGCATGTTTCTTCTGAGGAGGGCCAGCTGATGGCCATGGCCGGGGCCACTGGGGCGGTATGCAGACCCCCCGATTGGTAGAAGTGGAAGTTTGCATCAGCACGACTTACTGGGAGGGTTAGAATAACTGGCGGGGTTTGGTGGTGGAGGGAGGGGGGGTAGCTTGAAGAATGTGTGCGTGGTACAAGGAAGTTTAGTATTGGGGTCGAAGGAAAGGTCAGGGTTGGTGTTAAACTTCGTGTGTGAGGTTTGCGGTTATGGAGAGGATGAGTGTTAGGGTTACAGTTAGTGTTAAGGTTTCAGGGAGGGTTAGTGTCGGGGTTATAAGGAGGGTGTTTGGGTACATGAAGAGTTAATGTTGGGGTTACAGGAAGGGAGAGTGGAAAGGTCTGATGTTGGGTAGATTAGTGTTAGGGTTACAGGGAATATTAGTGTTGGGAATAATGGACAAGCAATGTCAAGGTTACAGGGAGGGTTAGTGTTAGGGAGGATTAGTGTTCTGGTACAGGGAGAGTTATTGTTAGGGTTAGAGGGTGGGTTAAAGGGAGGTAAAAGTCCGGGTTACACGGAGGCTTAGTGTTGGAGACGCAGTGAGGGCTAGCATTTCAGGTGCAAGGATGGTTAGTGTTAGGGTTACATGGTGAGTTAATGTTAAGGATGATGGGAGGGAAATGCCAGGGTTGCATGTTAGGGTTATAGGATGGGTCAGTGTTGGGGTCACGGGGGGGGGGGTATTGTTGGGGTTTTGGGTGGAGTTATAAGGTAGGCTTGTTTTTTGTGTGAGAGAAAATGTCCGGGTTAAAGGGAGGGTTACCGGAAGGGTTAGGATTGGGTCTTTAGGGAGGGTTAAGGTTGGGTTTGTGTGGAGGGTTAGTGTTAGGTTTACAGGGAGGGTCAGTGTTGGGGTTACAGGGAGGGTTAGTGTTGGGGTTACAGGGAGGGTCAGTGTTGGGGTTACAGGGAGGGTTAGCCTTGGGGTTACAGGAAGGGTCAGTGTTGGGGTTACAGGGAGGGCTAGTGTTGGGTTTACAGGAAGGGTTAGTGTTGGGGTTACAGGGAGGGGTATTGTTGGGGTTACAGAGAGGGTTAGTGTTGGGGTTACAGGGAGGATTAGTGTTGGGGTTACAGGGAGGGTTAGTGTTGGGGTAACAGGGAGGGATAGTGTTGGGGTTACAGGAAGGGTTAGTGTTGGGGTTACAGGGAGGGTTATTGTTGGGGTTACAGAGAGGGTTAGTGTTGGGGTTACAGGGTGGGTTAGTGTTGGTTACAGGGAGGGTTAGTGTTGGGGTTACAGGGAGGGTTAGTGTCGAGTTTACAGGGAGGGTTAGTGTCGGGTTTACAGGGAGGGTTAGTGTTGGGGTTACAGGGAGGGTTATTGTTGGGGTTACAGAGAGGGTTAGTGTTGGGGTTACAGGGAGGGTTAGTGTTGGGGTTACAGGGTGGGTTAGTGTTGGTTACAGAGAGGGTTAGTGTCGGGTTTACAGGGAGGGTTAGTGTTGGGATTACAGGGAGGGTTAGTGTTGGGGTTACAGGTAGGGTTAGTGTTGGGGTTACAGGTAGGGTTAGTGTTGGGGTTACAGGGAGGGTCAGTGTTGGGGTTACAGGGAGGGTCAGTGTTGGGGTTACAGGGAGAGTTAGTGTTGGGATTACAGGGAGGGTTAGTGTTGGGATTACAGGGAGGGTTAGTGTTGGGGTCACAGGTAGGGTTAGTGTTGGGGTTACAGGTAGGGTTAGTGTTGGGGTTACAGGGAGGGTCAGTGTTGGGGTTACAGGGAGAGTTAGTGTTGGGGTTACAAGGGGGGTTATTGTTGGGAGTTCATGTAATGGTAAGTGTTAGGGTAAAAGGGAGGGTTATTATTAGGGTCACAGGTCGGGTTAGTGTTAGAGTTAATGGAAATGTTGGGGTTACTGAGTGGGTTAGTATCAGAGATAAGGGGAGAATAAATGTCAGGGTTTTGGGGTGGGGGGGGTCATGTTTATTTTATAACATCTTACGAATTATGGAGAATAGCAGCATAATATTAGGAACACACTGAGGTTGGAAATAAACACCTAAAACTTGGCAGTATAGGGGAGCACAGCCAGAAGCCATGGTGGGGGGGGTCTCAGTTCTGGGGCCCCTACATTAGGAGTCCTCACATAGCTCAGATATCACGTATATCTTCGGAGATTCCCCTTCTCCGGGTTCCCCCAATGACGCGTCTCGTATTTTCTGCAGCCGTTGCTGGAGATGGCGTACAATGGAAACCCGGAATCTGTGGGCTACAAGATCCGGTACGTGAGGTCCGATGGCAAAGGAGAGTCCTTGACGCACGTGATTCATGACCGGGTGGAGCGGGAGTACACCATCGAGAACCTGGAAGAATGGACGGAATACTCCGTACAGGTTGTAGCGTTCAACTCCATTGGGACGGGACCCTGGAGCCCCGCTGTGGTCGCCAGGACCAGGGAGTCAGGTAATGCAGCACCAACCAGATAGGGGGGGGGGGGGGGTTACCGTTGAGTTTTTCTGCTACCAGTTATGTATTACTAAAAGGTTTTATATGCCCCCCCTCCCCCCCCCAGAGAGGGTCAGTGGTCTGTCCCTGAGCACAGATTGAGGGTTCAGATCAGCAGAGGCTGCCTATGAACTAAGCTTTGATGTAGAGGGGGACTCAGATATAAGAGGGGACTCCTAAGAAAGATGGACTTTGATGGGGGCCCTAATATAAGGGAGGACTCTTAGGAAACACGGACTTTGATGGGGGCCCTAATATAAGGGAGGACTCTTAGGAAACACGGACTTTGATGGGGGCCCTAATATAAGGGAGGACTCTTAGGAAACAAGGACTTTGATGGGGGCCCTAATATAAGGGAGGACTCTTAGGAAACACGGACTTTGATGGAGGCCCTAATATAAGGGAGGATCAGGTGTGGACTGACCATTCGTACACTCGGGCACTGCCCGAGGGCCCGGGGTCAGTAGGGGACCCCATGAGATGCCCCTGGTACCTTTTATAGGCTTTTTTGGGTGTGCTTTGAGTGTCGGCGAGGACACAGGGGCCCCATGATCCCCTATTGTCCGGGGGCTCCGTGAGTTGTCAGTCCACCCCTGAGGAGGACTCTTGGGAAGCACAGACTTTGATGGGGACCCTGGTGTAAGTGATATTTTTTCGGCCCGTGAACATTTGTAGTATCTGATGTGGCCCTTGTACTGAAACGTTTGGGGCCCCTTACTCTAACTGGATGTACAAGGGGGCAGACTAGACTGAAGATGGGGCTCAGCCGACTCTGGACCTTCTCTGCCATCTCAGTGTAACCGCCTCTCATGTTTGCAGGCTCAGCCATCAGAACAATGATACATTGTAGCGCCCCCTGTGCCTCGGAGGTCTTTGCTGTTAAAAAATACAAAAACAAAAAACAACAAATGATCATATTTAGGACAAATTGGACCATCGGATTGGCCGGCTCCCTTCATTTGAGGCCCCCATAATGTGTATTATTTTTTAGTCTCTCATTGGCCGTTACAAAGCATGTAATAATGTGGGCGGTCCAGACGGCGGGCAGAAAATGGCACTCCTTGCCCGATCCTGAGAAGGAAACAATGTCATCAATGTGTATCTGTGCGGAAACGTTCATAGAATTCAGCGCGGTGAACGCCTTCCGGCTCCCCAACTCACCGACTGATTCTCTTCCTTTCCAGTCTCCTCCTCCGGGCCCAGCAATGTCTCCGCCCTGGCCACGACATCGAGCAGCATATTGGTGCGCTGGAGCGAGATCGCCGAGTCGGAGAGGAACGGCCTCATTCTGGGGTATAAGGTGAGCGCCGCGGTGACGGGCTGTGAAGGGTTCAAGTGAACGTAAATCCTGAAAATGAACTTCTGTTCGCTCCCCTTGGCTTTGGTAACCTCTCGCCAAGTGCCATATATTCGATGCCCAGCCGCCGCACATGTGTAATCGTGGCGGAAGGAGCTTGTGTGCGGAGAGCGTGTACCGTGCACTGCCAGCACACAGATTGCTCCCCGTCAAGGCCAATCACATGATAGAGAAGCCCCCTCGTCTCTTGGGACTTAAAGCCCTACTTAAAGGACTGCCAGGAGGAGGTGTTAGGGGGTTAACTATCGTATTAAAGAAAATATATAGTGAAGCGCTCCTGAAATTCAAAATAAATATATACGTGTCAGCTGGGAGTAGCTAAGTGACGTCATTACGTTGGGCTGAATTTTGGATTCCTGCTCACTATTCCTATTTTTATAAGGACTATGTATTCATATGCATTCACACTTCAAATACTAAAGACAATATATAGTGAAGTGCTCCTGAAATCCAAAATATATGTATACACATCAACCGGGAGTAGCTAAGTGACGCCATTACGTTAGGCTGAATCTTGGATTCCTGCTGACTATTCCTATTTTATTTAGGATTATGTATTTGTATGCATTCACACTTCAAATACTAAAGACAATATATAGTGAAGCGCTTCTGAAATCCAAAATAAATATATACGTGTCAGCTGGGAGCAGTTAAGTGACGTCATTACGTTGGGCTGAATCTTGGATTCCTGCTCAGTATTCCTATTTTTATTAGGATTTAATTTGTAAGCTCCACAAGTCGGGCCCTCCTATTACTTTTGTACTGAAATGTATTATCATTGTACTGTCTCCCTTATATTGTAAGTACTGCTCAAACTGTTGGCGTTATATAAATCCTGTATAATAATAATGTATTTGTATGCATTCACACTTAATATAGTAAAGAAAATATATAGTGAAGCGCTCCTGAAGCCCCAAATAAATATATATGTGAAAGCTGAGAGCAGCCAAGTGACGTCATTACGTTGGACTGAATCTTGGATTCCTGCTCACTATTCTTGTTTTTATAAAGATGATGTACTCATATGCATTCACATTTAAAATACTAAAGAAAATATATAGTGAAGCTCTCCTGAAGTCCAAAATAAATATATACGCTTCAGCCTGGAGCAGCTAATTGACGTCATTACGTTGGGCTGAATCTTGGATTCCTACTCACTATTCCTATTTTTATGAGGATTATGTATTCAAATGCATTCACATTTAAAATACTAAAGAAAAAATATAGTGAAGCACTCCTGAAACCCAAAATAAATATATACGCATCAGCCGGGAGCAGCTAAGTGACGTCATTACGTTGGGCTGAATCTTGGATTCCTGTTCATTATTCCGATTTTATCAGGATTTTGTATTCGTATGCATTCACACTTAAAATACTAAAGAAAATATATAGTGAAGCACTCCTGAAACCCTCCATAAATATCAAACAAATGTGCAAATAATATCATTACATAATCCTAATAAAAATAGGAATAGTGAACAGGAATCCAAGATTCAGCCCAACGTAATGACGTCACTTAGCTGCTCCTCCACATTGTGTTGCTTTATCAAAGGTATATTATGTGCACATGTATCGTATTTATGTTGCATTATATCTGTTTCATTATTTATGCATTTGTAAACGATCCACTGAATCAGCTGATGTTGCGATACAATAATTTTTATAAGGATTATGTATTCATATTAACTGCACATTTGTTTGATGTTTATTGTGGGTTTCAGGGGCACTTTACTATATATTTTCTTTAGTGATTTAAGTGTGAATACATATGAATTCATAATTCTAATAAAAATAGGGATAATGAACAGGAATCCAAGATTCAGTCCAACGTAATGACGTCACTTAGCTGCTTCCGGCTGTTGAATTGTGTCTATACCGGGCTTTCTTAAATGTATATTATGTTCACATGCATCATTTGCATTATATTTAATTATTTATGCATTTGTAAACGTCTCACTGAATCAGTTGATGTTGTGATACAGATATTTTTACTGGGATTATGTATTCATATTAATTGCACATTTGCTTGCTATTTATTGTGGGTTTCAGGAGCACTTCACTATATTTCTTCTTAAGGTATGAATGTATATGAATATGTAATCCTAATAAAAATAGGAATTGTGAGCAGGAATCCAAGATTCAGCCCAACGTAATGACGTCACTTAGCTGCCCCCGGCTGATGCATATATATTCCTTTTGGGCTTCAGGAGTGCTTCACTGTATATTTGTTTTAGTATTTTAAGTGTGAATGCATATGAATTCATAATCCTCATAAAAATAGGAATTGTGAGCAAGAATACAAGATTCAGCCCAACGTAGTGACGTCACTTAGCTGCTCCTCCACATTGCGTTGCTTTCTCAAAGGTATATTATGTGCACATGCATCATATTTTCATTGCATTATATCTGCTTCACTATTTATGCATTTATAAATGATCCACTGAATCAGCTGATGTTGTAATACATAATCCTAATAAAAATAGGAATTCTGAGCAGGAATCCAAGATTCAGCCCAACGGAATGACGTCACTTAGCTGCTCCCGCCTGACGCATATATATTAATTATGGGCTTCAGGAACTGTTCACTATTTATTTTTTTTTGTATTTTAAGTGTGAATGCATATGAATACATAATCCTTATAAAAATAGGAATTCTGAGCAGGAATCCAAGATTCAGCCCAACGTAATGACGTCACTTTTCTTAATGACATCATATTTTTTTCACTATATATATTTTTTTTTTGTATTTTAAGTGTGAATTCATATGAATACATAATCCTAAAAAAAATAGGAATTGTGAACAGGAATTCAAGATTCAGCCCAACATATTGACGTCACTTAGCTGCTCCCACCTGACGCATATATATTAATTTTGGGCTTCAGGAGCGCTTCACTATATATTTTCTTTAGTATTTTAAGTGTGAATGCATATGAATACATAATCCTTATAAAAATAGGAATTCTGAGCAGGAATCCAAGATTCAGCCCAACATAATGACGTCACTTTTAACTGCTCCCGGCTGACGCATATATATTCATTTTGGGCTTCAGGAGCACTTCACAAAATTTAATTTTATTATTTCGGATTAATTTAAATTTGTTACTATTGTCATTTGGAAATTCGGATACATCTGAATCTCTGAATCAGTGGTGGACTGACCATTTGGAAACTCGGGCACTGCCCGAGAGTCCGGGGTCAGTAGGGGGCCCCATGAGATGCCCCTGGTACCTTTTTCATAGGCTTTTTTGACTTTGGGCAAGGACACAGGGGTCCCATGATCCCCTATTGCCCGGGGGCCCCATGAGTTGTCAGTCCGCCCCTGCTCTGAATAACGAAAATTTCAATTTGGAACGAAACAAACCGCACCTGTCCAATCAGAACTGGGGATTCTTGCCCCTGGAGTCATTGGGAGCTCATAGACTCTAGCACGGCTGTCCATTTTCCAGCAGCCACATCCAACAGAAGCTTGGGTTTTGGGTGGTGTTGGCCCTCGGTAGCATCCTTTGTTTTAGGTTTCTGAAATGTGTCCACGTGTTGTCTTCCAGATTCTTTACAAAGAGAAGGACTCGGACAATCCGCCTTATTTCTGGCTGGTGGAAGGGAACGCCTCTCGCAGCGTCCAGCTGACCAATCTGGGGAAGTACGTGTTGTACGAGATCCAGGTCTTGGCCTTCACCAGGATAGGGGACGGCGTGGCCAGCACACCAGCCATTCTGGAGAGAACGTTGGATGATGGTGAGATTGTAGGACCACCGAAGGTGTGATGGGAAGTCGTATTTGATGGGAACTCTTTCTATTTTCATCGGTAGCTGTATTTTTTAGACAAGAGCAAGGCCTACGGGATCATTTTTTAAAAGTGCACGTTGAACGCCTGAAAATAAATTTGTGATCTCAACCTTTTCTCCTATCTCCAGCAAAGTGGAAAAAAAAATATCAATCATACTCTACACTTTACAAAAAATATATATATACAGAACAGGGGCTGCTCCAGGAAAGGTTAGGGAATCTTTGTGAACTGCTACAAAGCAACAATTCTTCTTGACTGAAACATTGAAAATGGAGAACTTGGAAATAACAAAAAGAAAATTTATTTAAAAATTTTTTTTTCATTATTATTAAACCTGAAGCATTCCATAAAACAGTCATTAGATGAGGTCACATAGTTCAGGACATAGAACCTTCACAAGTGAAATTTGAGCTTATTCGACATTCTATTCGAGAACCTTTGCAATTAATACGGGGTTGACACCCTCCCTATGGCCATTCATATCATGTTGGCTCCCTTTGAGGTTATAACATCCTTTTGGTTTTCTGGGAAGACTTTCCACAAGATTTTGGAGGGTGGCTGTGGGAACTTGTGCCCAGTCATAGGGTCAGGTCCTGGTGTTGGATGAGAAGACCTGGCCCACACATCCGACCCCACGTTGGGCACCAAAAAAAGATAGACCTGGCTCAAAATCAGCATTCTAATTCATTCTAAAAGGTGTGCAGTGGGGTTGAGGTCAGAGCTCTTTGTAGGACACACAAGCCCCTCCTACACCAAACTGGTCAAACCATGTCTTTATCTTATCTGCTGAAAAAGGTCTTCCCTAAACTGTTACCACAAGGTTAGAACACAACTTTGTAAAATGTCTTTGTATGATGTCGTATTACCCGTACCCTTCACTGGAGGCACCTGAACTTCATCATATGGGAGCACATACTTTGATACTTTGTGCAATATAGTGTATCAGTTAGGATTTTGAAGAACTCTATCATTATTTGTAATAGGGTCATTCAACTCCAAACCAATACACTATATTGCCCAAAGTATGTGCCTCCCATATGATGGAGTTCAGGTGCCTCCATGAAGTAGGTGACCTCAACCCCACTGAACACCTTCGGGATGAACTGGTAATAGGGTCATCCAACATGATCAAGGGCAGCTACGTATGTTGAATGAGAAGTCCTGGCTTGCATTGATGTTCCAGTTCATCCCGAAGGTGCTCAGTAGGGTTGAGGTCAGGACTCTGTGCAGGACACTCAATCAAACTGGTCAAACCATGTCTTTATCTTATCTGTTGAAAAGGGTCTTCCCTAAACTGTTACCACAAGGTTAGAACACAACTTTCTAAAATGTCTTTGTATGATGTCGTATTACCCGTACCCTTCAGTGGAGACACCTGAACTCCATCATATGGGGGGCACATATTTTGTGTCATATAGTGTATCAGTTAGGAGTTTGAAGAAATAGGTAATAGGGTCATCCAACTCCAAACCGATACACTATATGGCCCAAAGTATATGTGCCTCCCATATGATGAAGTTCAGGTGCCTCCAGTGAAGGGTACGGGTTGTTTTCTAACCTTGTGTTCTAACTTTGTGGTAAAAGTTTGGAGAAGACACTTTTCAGCAGATAAGATAAAGACATGGTTTGACCAGTTTGGTTGAGTGTCCTGCACAGAGTCCTAACCTCAACCCTACTGAACACCTTTCGGATGAACTGGAACATCAATGCAAGCCAGGACTTCTCATTCTACATACGTAGCTGCCCTTGATCATGTTTGAAGAACTCTATCATTATTGGTAATAGGGTCCTCCAACATGATTAAGGGCAGCTACGTATGTTGAATGAGAAGTCCTGGCTTGCATTGATGTTTCAGTTCATCCCAAAGGTGTTCAGTAGGGTTGAGGTCAGGACTCTCAACCAAACTGGTCAAACCATGTGTTTATCTTATCTGCTGAAAAGGGTCTTCTCTAAACTGTTACCACAAGGTTAGAACACAACTTTCTAAAATGTCTTTGTATGGTGCCATATTACCTGTACCCTTCAGTGGAGGCACCTGAACTCCATCATATGGGGGGCACATACTTTGTGCCATATAGTGTATCAGTTAGGAGTTGGATGACCCCATTACCAATAATGATAGAGTTCTTCAAACACGATCAAGGGTAGCTACTAATGTTGAATGAGAATTCTTTGCTTGCATTGATATTCCAGTTCATCCCAAAGGTGTTCAGTAGGGTTGAGGTCAGGATTCGGTGCATGACACTCAACCAAACTGGTCAAACCATGTCTTTATATTATCTGCTGAAAAGTGTCTTCTCCAAACTTTTACCACAAAGTTAGAACACAACCCGTACCCTTCACTGGAGGCACCTGAACTCCATCATTTGAGGGGCACATACTTTGGGCCATATAGTGTATTGGTTTGGAGTTGGATGACCCAATTACCAATAATGATAGAGTTCTTCAAACATGATCAAGGGCACCTACGTATGTAGAATGAGAAGCCCTGGCTTGCATTGATATTCCAGTTCAACCCAAAGGTGTTCAGTAGGGTTGAGGTCAGGACTCTGTGCAGGACACTCAACCGAACTGGTCAAACCATGTCTTTACAGAGCTGACCGATTCGCCCATAGCGTATGGTGAGCAGTTCAGCCCACCAAACATGACCCATTCAAGTGAATGGAGCTTCCCCACAACTTCCCTACAACTGCATGCAATGCACGTGGTTGCGATGTTGGCTTTTTAGGGGTTAAAACAAACAGTGAGGAAGGCGTCATGACGCCTTCTCACCTCCTTTCCTGAAAATTGATCTACTACGGATCGCATTTCAGAAGACTCATGCACACTGATAGTCGCGTTCGTTACAAATAACATTTTACAGGGAAAATGTAACAAAGAATCAATAGAGTACAAATAATTATATGGCAGTCTCCAGCTGAAATGTGGAGCTGATATGAATATGACATGTTACGTGCGCTGGGGATGGAAATGTTTTGTCTCCTTCATTATATCAATAACAAAAAAAAATTGCATGTACAGTAGCAATTCTGGAAATTATCTTCATATGTCTTTTTTTTTTTTTTTTAAAGTTCCAGGGCCCCCAGTAGGAATACTCTTTCCTGAGGTGAGAACCACCTCCGTCCGCCTGATCTGGCAGCCGCCAGCCGCCCCCAATGGCATCATTCTGGGTAAGAACGGGGATTGGGGTTCTGGTCTCTAGAAATGAAGACAAATTATATCGGTGGTACTACTTATTAACCCCTCGATGTCGGGACCTTTTTTGAGTCGTTCTGGACAAAGGCTGTTATGCCAACACTATGAAATGACAAATGTGCTGTGCTATGATTATAAACACGCTACAAATAAATATAGAAAACAATTGTGATCAAACAAATAATAGTCCCAATGGGAAATAAGTATCCAAATGGAAAAGTAAGTGTCCAAAACCCAAGGGAAACATTGACCACATCCAATGGGGAGCTGACAGTATCCTGGGAAGATATGAGGGGCCTCCACCAAGACAACACCATACCCACCTACTGAATAACCATGACCCTCTAATCACGGAAGGTCATGGAGCACTTTGGTACATAAATCCCATGGAGGTCTCCTCCAAGATAACTCTGGTATGTTACCCCTGGAACCGCGGATGTCTCCATATATAGAGGCTTGTATGCAATCATCCGTCCATCACACATACAAGAGAAATGAAGAGTCCAAAATGGTGTAAAACCTTTTACAAAGTGTATTCAAAATGGTAAATGCAGCATTATAAACAGACAATTCGACCAGCAGAGAAGATGGCTTCCAATACGCGATGACACAGCAGGCTCCTCCCTACGTGTTTCGTCACAACGGACGTCATATGGGTCACGTTATGCTGACACACTGGCTTTTATATTTTGGTGAGCTGGCCTGAAAATCAGGCTAATCAGGAAAGGACCGCTGTCCTTATTGGCACACTTGTTCTGGGTTAGTAAATCAGAGTATGTAAGATCAGCATGACAGCCAGGCGGCTTGCATTTTCAGAGGGATAGGATGGCAGTGGCAGCCTTTATTTATTAGAGGTACTTATATAGCGCCGTCAGTTTACGTAGCGCTTTACATATATATTGTACATTCACATCAGTCCCCGTCCCCGAGGAGCGTACAATCTGAGGTCCCTAACTCACTTTCATACATACGCATACTAGGGCCAGTTTAGACAGGAGCTGATTCCCCACCCAGCATGTCTTTGGAGTGTGGGAGGAAACCGGAGTACCCGGAGGAAACCCACGCAGGCACAGGGAGAACATGCAAACACCAGGCAGGTGGTGCTGTGGTTGGAATTCAAACCAATGACCCGAGTACTGCCAGGCGGAAGTGCTAACCACTTAGCCACTGTGCTGCCCATTTATGTCTGGAAGAGGCAGACTGTGTATGACAAAGCCACAGTTAGTCATGTGACCACTGCTAGCAAACGACAGCAGATGATTGGCTAGTGTAGTTCACTAAATTCATGTATTTTTTTTTTCCCTCCAACAGCCTATCAGATAACTCACCGGCTCAATACAACCAATGCCAACACCGCTACGGTGGATGTTCTGAACCCAAGCGTACGGCAGTATACCGCTACCGGGCTGAGGCCAGAGTCCGTCTACCTGTTCAGAATCACCGCCCAGACTCGCAAAGGATGGGGGGAGGCGGCTGAAGCGCTGGTGGTCACCACGGAGAAGCGAGGTACAAGGTTTCACTTTTTTCAAGTTGGGGTATCTGAAGCCAATCTCTTTCTATATAGAGAGAGAGCAGGGAAGGGTTAGAACTCCTAATGTTTTCGTTTTTTTTTTTGTGGGGGTTGCTTCCCTTCCTCTCCTGGAGACTCAACATTGGTGTGATGTGGTGCAATCCATTCTGAAAGGGATCGGGTGGTGGTGGACCCCAAAGGTCCAATGGGTCAGACTGAAAAAGTAAATTGGAGGCCCAAAAACGGCCCGAGGTATCCACTGGAAAAAGAGAGGTGAGAGGCGGGAGAGCGCTTACAGTGCAGAACATATCTAAATGCAGTTATTTCCTCGAGAGAAAGAAAGGAGAAATGACTTACATTTGGTGAGGTTGTGGTTACCCGGGGGTGGAACCAGACAACCTTCCGTGAACCTAGATGGCATAGATGCCCCATCTCTACGCGGGGGTAAAATCAGTCACTCTGATGGGGCCCCAAATTCTGTATCCTCTCTGGATTCTCAGGTGGGTATTGTACTTGTAGGATGAGAACAGGTAAAAGGAATGACAGAGGCGCCCAGTGTGGTGGGTCTAAGGATGTGAAGTCATCAAATTAGAGGAACATTAAATAGCTTTACTTGACCAAGAGACACGCTTTGTGGTTATGACTCGCCACTTCCTCAGTATACGGAGATATACAAATGTTTGCCATTTCTTGGTTTCCACCTGAGTTGTTTTGTGGTCTACACACACTTGGGTGAAAGAGTAAACTGAGAAATATGAAATATTTGTGTATCACCGTATACTGAGGAAGCGATGAGTGATAGCCGCAAAATGCGTCTTTTGGTGAAATTCAGCTATTTGATATTCCTCCAACTTGATGAGTCCGACCCATCCTCAGACACACTACACTGGGCACTACTGCCATTCTGTTCACTGATGGGCTTTTTACCTCCTCTCATCCATGCTGAATGGTTTCCCATGCAATGGCCGTGCGTGGCAGTACTAGTGTTGTGGGCTTACTCACCTTCCAGCTCCTTATTTCTGTCTGAGACTCCAGTGGTAGAATTCCCATGCCGTATTTTGCTTCTCAGACTCTCCAACAAGTCCTGAGTAAAGTTAATCTTATTACTTCTAGAGTTGTCAATTATTAGGTTAGTCTTCATTATTAAAGGCCAACTTTTGGCTTCCCCACCACAATGACCCTCCCTTCCCATATGGAGGCTTCCCAGCAGTATGTTTAACCTTTTTATTTTTGAATTCTCAACTTTTCCACATGTCTTGGGGCTGGTCAGGTGATGCCTTAGTTCTTCTTCTTCTCCCAATCTTCTCCAGTGGCATCTCCCAGTCACATGATGCCTTAGGTCTTCATATTCCAGTCTTCTCCAGTGGCATCTCCCAGTCCCGTGATCCCTTGGGTCTTCTTCATCTCCCAGTCTTCTCCAGTGGCATTTTCCAATCATGTGATGCCTTAGGTCTTCTTCATCTTCCAGTCTTCTCCAGTGGCATCTGCCAGTAACACGATGCCTTAGGTCTTCATCTTCCAGTCTTCTCTAGTGGCATCTCCCAATCACGTGATGCTTTGGGTCTTCTTCATCTCCCAGTCTTCTCCAGTGGCATTTTCCAATCATGTGATGCCTTAGGTCTTCATCTTCCAGTCTTCTCCAGTGGCATCTCGCAGTCACATGGTGCCTTGGGTCTTCTTCATCTTCCAATCTTCTCCAGTGGCATCTTCCAATCATGTGATGCCTTGGGTCATCTTCATCTCCCAGTCTACTCCAGTGGCATCTGCCAATGATGTGATGCCTTGGGCCTTCTTTATCTCCCAGTCTTCTCCAGTGGAATCTCCCAGACACGTAATGCCTTGGGTCTTCTTCATCTCCCAATCTTCTCCAGTGGCATCTCCCAATGATGTGATGCCTTGGGCCTTCTTCATCGCCCAGTCTTCTCCAGTGGCATCTCCCAGTCACGTGATGCCTTGGGCCTTCTTCATCGCCCAGTCTTCTCCAGTGGAATCTCCCAGTCACGTGATGCCGTGGGTCTTCTTCATCTCCAGTGGTTGGCAATCCTTGAAGGAGCAGAGAATGGCACAGACTCTGTCTGCATCATTACATGCCCCCTTAGGGCGTTGTTTAACCCAAAAGATTGGGGACATCTTGTGGTAAGAGTGAATAAAGGTGAGCCTAAGCTGCTTTTTTTTAAATTAAGAAATGAGCCTGGAGTTGGGCTTTGAAGGTCCCTTGGGGTATGGTGACACTATCATTTGGCTTTGCAATAGCCGCACAACAGTTGGACAGAACTAAGAATTCTCATTTAGATCACTAGCAGAGTTACTATACATAAAGAAGCCAGTTTGTGATTTAGTTTCACAGCAAACCAGAGTAAACGTTTTGGATGAAGATGTCCCACACTGGATGCCACATTGGTATCTCTTTTTCAGATCGTCCTCAGCCGCCCAGCAAGCCCGGGGTTCTACAGGAAGACGTGAAATCCCGGAACGTCCTCTTGACATGGGAACCTGGCAGCGATGGCCTGTCTCCTGTCCGTTACTACACCATCCAGACCCGAGAATTGCCCAAAGGGCGTTGGGTTGTCCACTCCGCCTCCATCAGCCACAATGCCACCTCTGCTGTCGTGGACAGGTGAGAATTGATTGCGATCGAAGGGAAGGCGTGTCTGTGGATCTTAGAGAAAGTTGTTACTCACTATGATGGTTTCCATTACAGGTTGAAACCTTTCACATCGTACAAGTTCAGAGTGAAAGCCACCAATGACATCGGGGACAGCGAATACAGCGAAGAGTCGGAATCCCTTACCACTCTGCAGGCTGGTGAGTCACATGACCAGATTTTATATATTTGAGACATGGTTGTTCAACTTATTTGCTGGCATTAGAAATACAACCTGACCACATTTTGAGCTCTACCTTTAGGAGGAGATTTCATTTTGCCAGTTTCTGCAAAAATCTTACCAAAATTTTGCCATTTTGGCAAAATGCATTAGGGTCAACAGGGAAAATTAGGGTGGATTCCTGTTACTTGCTGAAGGTGGATAAACCCCTGAAATAAAAAAAAAAAAACAATATAATTTAATACACAGAAAACTGGCTTACAGTAATATTGTTACAAATTATTTAAAGTGAAATGTTCCAGTTGGGCTTCATTGAATAAAAATCTTATATTTAGGTTTGTTAGCATGCCAGCTGGATGAGGTTCTAAACAGTAGATGAGACATGACCTATCAAGCCCATCATTTTCATCCTCTGTCTGTGGGTGCAGAAAGATGCCCCCGTCTGGCTCTTAAGGAGAACAACAGACAGGTTTATATAAACCCATCTTAAAGGGGCTCTATATGTAAAATACATACTGCCACCAATGATGGGGCACTATTCCTCCCACTGCCACCAATGATGGGGCACTATTCCTCCCACTGACACCAATGATGGGGCACTATTCCTCCCACTGCCACCAATGATGGGGCACTATTCCTCCCACTGACACCAATGATTGGGCACTATTCCTCCCACTGACACCAATGATGGGGCACAATTCCTCCCACTGACACCAATGATGGGGCACAATTCCTCCCACTGACACCAATGATGGGGCACTATTCCTCCCACTGATACCAATGATGGGGCACTATTCCTCCCACTGACACCAATGATGAGGCACTATTCCTCCCACTGACACCAATGATGGGGCACTATTCCTCCCACTGATACCAATGATGGGGCACTATTTCTCCCACTGACACCAATGATGGGGCACTATTCCTCCACCAATGATGGGGCATTATTCCTCCCACTGATACCAATGATGGGGCACTATTCCTCCCACTGACACCAATGATGGGGCACTATTTCTCCCACTGACACCAATGATGGGGCACTATTCCTCCCACTGACACCAATGATGGGGCACTATTCCTCCCACTGACACCAATGATGGGGCACTATTTCTCCCACTGACACCAATGATGGGGCACTATTTCTCTCATGTATTGCTGTATTGTTTGCAACATGATCATCTTCTGTGATCAGCGGCGCCATCTAGTGGCCATAATGTGATATTTTCCTGAAATAACTCAATAAAAACAATACTGTATTATGGCCACTAGAACGCGTTGATGATCATAAGAGATTCATATTACAAAAATACAGAAAACTTATTTTATAGATGCACTCCAAAGTATTAGAACAAAAAAAACATATGCAGTACATCTCTACAATACGTGGACATTTCCTCAGGTTTATCCTTTTAAAGCAGGGGTCTCCAAACTTTCTAAACAAAGGGCCGGTTTACTGTCCTTCAGAGTTTAGGAGGGCTGGAGTGGCCAATGGGAGTAGAAAATGTCTCAGCGTCAGTAGGAGTAAAAAAAAAATGACACAGTGCTTGTAGTCAGTGGAAGGTGGGGAATAGGAGGAATAGTGCCCCATCATTGGTATCAGTGGGAGGAATAGTGCCCCATCATTGGTGTCAGTGGGAGGAATAGTGCCCCATCATTGGTGTCAGTACGAGGAATAGTGTCCCATCATTGGTGTCAATGGGAGAAATAGTGCCCCATCATTGGTGTCAGTGGGAGGAATAGTGCTCCATCATTGGTGTCAATGGGAGAAATAGTGCCCCATCATTGGTGTCAGTGGGAGGAATAATGCCCCATCATTGGTATCAGTGAGAGAAATAGTGCCTCATCATTGGTGTCAGTGGAGGGAATAGTGCCCCATCATTGGTATCAGTGGAGGGAATAGTGCCCTATCATTGGTGTCAGTAGGAGGAATAGTGCCCCATCGTTGGTGACAGTGGGAGAAATAGTGTCCCATCATTGGTGTCAGTGGGAAGAATAGTGCCCCGTCATTGGTGTCAGTGGGAGGAATAGTGCCCCATCATTGGTGTCAGTGGGAGGAATAATGCCCCATCATTGGTATCAGTGAGAGAAATAGTGCCTCATCATTGGTGTCAGTGGAGGGAATAGTGCCCCATCATTGGTATCAGTGGAGGGAATAGTGCCCTATCATTGGTGTCAGTAGGAGGAATAGTGCCCCATCGTTGGTGACAGTGGGAGAAATAGTGCCCCATCATTGGTGTCAGTGGGAAGAATAGTGCCCCATCATTGGTGTCAGTGGGAGGAATAGTGCCCCATCATTGGTGTCAGTGGGAGGAATAGTGCCCCATCATTGGTGTCAGTGGGAGGAATAGTGTCCCATCATTTGTGTCAGTGGGAGAAATAGTGCCCCATCATTGGTGTCAGTGGGGGGAATAGTGCCCCATTATTTAGGTTTGTTAGCATGCCAGCTGGATGAGGTTCTAAACAGTAGATGAGACATGACCTATCAAGCCCATCATTTTCATCCTCTGTCTGTGGGTGCAGAAAGATGCCCCCGTCTGGCTCTTAAGGAGAACAACAGACAGGTTTATAAACCCATCTTAAAGGGGCTCTATATGTAAAATACATACTGCCACCAATGATGGGGCACTATTCCTCCCACTGCCACCAATGATGGGGCACTATTCCTCCCACTGCCACCAATGATGGGGCACTATTCCTCCCACTGCCACCAATGATGGGGCACTATTCCTCCCACTGACACCAATGATTGGGCACTATTCCTCCCACTGACACCAATGATGGGGCACAATTCCTCCCACTGACACCAATGATGGGGCACAATTCCTCCCACTGACACCAATGATGGGGCACTATTCCTCCCACTGATACCAATGATGGGGCACTATTCCTCCCACTGATACCAATGATGGGGCACTATTTCTCCCACTGACACCAATGATGGGGCACTATTCCTCCACCAATGATGGGGCATTATTCCTTCCTCCCTGATACCAATGATGGGGCACTATTCCTCCCACTGACACCAATGATGGGGCACTATTTCTCCCACTGACACCAATGATGGGGCACTATTCCTCCCACTGACACCAATGATGGGGCACTATTCCTCCCACTGACACCAATGATGGGGCACTATTTCTCCCACTGACACCAATGATGGGGCACTATTTCTCTCATGTATTGCTGTATTGTTTGCAACATGATCATCTTCTGTGATCAGCGGCGCCATCTAGTGGCCATAATGTGATATTTTCCTGAAATAACTCAATAAAAACAATACTGTATTATGGCCACTAGAACGCGTTGATGATCATAAGAGATTCATATTACAAAAATACAGAAAACTTATTTTATAGATGCACTCCAAAGTATTAGAACAAAAAAAACATATGCAGTACATCTCTACAATACGTGGACATTTCCTCAGGTTTATCCTTTTAAAGCAGGGGTCTCCAAACTTTCTAAACAAAGGGCCGGTTTACTGTCCTTCAGAGTTTAGGAGGGCTGGAGTGGCCAATGGGAGTAGAAAATGTCTCAGCATCAGTAGGAGTAAAAAAAAAATGACACAGTGCTTGTAGTCAGTGGAAGGTGGGGATATAGGAGGAATAGTGCCCCATCATTGGTATCAGTGGGAGGAATAGTGCCCCATCATTGGTGTCAGTGGGAGGAATAGTGCCCCATCATTGGTGTCAGTACGAGGAATAGTGTCCCATCATTGGTGTCAATGGGAGAAATAGTGCCCCATCATTGGTGTCAGTGGGAGGAATAGTGCTCCATCATTGGTGTCAATGGGAGAAATAGTGCCCCATCATTGGTGTCAGTGGGAGGAATAATGCCCCATCATTGGTATCAGTGAGAGAAATAGTGCCTCATCATTGGTGTCAGTGGAGGGAATAGTGCCCCATCATTGGTATCAGTGGAGGGAATAGTGCCCTATCATTGGTGTCAGTAGGAGGAATAGTGCCCCATCGTTGGTGACAGTGGGAGAGAAATAGTGTCCCATCATTGGTGTCAGTGGGAAGAATAGTGCCCCGTCATTGGTGTCAGTGGGAGGAATAGTGCCCCATCATTGGTGTCAGTGGGAGGAATAATGCCCCATCATTGGTATCAGTGAGAGAAATAGTGCCTCATCATTGGTGTCAGTGGAGGGAATAGTGCCCCATCATTGGTATCAGTGGAGGGAATAGTGCCCTATCATTGGTGTCAGTAGGAGGAATAGTGCCCCATCGTTGGTGACAGTGGGAGAAATAGTGCCCCATCATTGGTGTCAGTGGGAAGAATAGTGCCCCATCATTGGTGTCAGTGGGAGGAATAGTGCCCCATCATTGGTGTCAGTGGGAGGAATAGTGCCCCATCATTGGTGTCAGTGGGAGGAATAGTGTCCCATCATTTGTGTCAGTGGGAGAAATAGTGCCCCATCATTGGTGTCAGTGGGGGGAATAGTGCCCCATTATTGGTGTCAGTGGGAGGAATAGTGTCCCATCATTGGTGTCAGTGGGAGGAATAGTGCCCCATCATTGGTGTCAGTGGGAGGAATAGTGCCCCATCATTGGTATCAGAGGAAGGAATAGTGCCCCATCATTGGTGTCAGTGTGAGGAATAGTGTCCCATCATTGGTGCCAGTGGGAGGAATAGTGTCCCATCATTGGTGTCAGTGGGAGGAATAGTGTCCCATCATTTGTGCCAGTGGGAGGAATAGTGCCCCATCATTGGTGTCAGTAGGAGGAATAGTGCCCCATCCTTGGTATCAGAGGAAGGAATAGTGCCCCATCATTGGTATCAGAGGAAGGAATAGTGCCCCATCATTGGTGTCAGTGGGAGGAATAGTGCCCCATCATTGGTATTAGTGGGAGGAATAGTGCCCCATCATTGGTGTCAGTGGGATGAATAGTGCCCCATCATTGGTGTCAGTGGGATGAATAGTGCCCCATCATTGGTGTCAGAGGAAGGAACAGTACCCTACACCTGGTATTATTTGGGTGAACAGTACCTAATTGTTTATATCAGTAGGAGGAATTGTGCCCCATCATTGGTGTCAGTGGAAGGAAAAATGCCCCATAGCTGGTGCCAGTGGAAGAAATGGTATCTCTTTGTTGGTGTCATTGGGAGGAATAGTTCCCCTGAGGGCCAGATAGAGGCAGGCAAAGGGCCGCAGTCTGTAGACCACTGCTTTAAAGCACAGAAAAATGATGATCTGTCTGGAATACACTCGGCTTTTAATTTGCTTTTGTGGGCACTCAACATATATGTGGACTGAGTGGTGTCAGCCCTGCCCATTGCCTTTTCGCTAAGCTGCTCAACTTCTGCAACCATCTTCTTATCCACAGCATAGGGATTTATGGACGTGTAGTCCATCAGGGAGCACTAAAAAGCTTCCTTGAGACAACACAAAAAAAAAAATACCTGTTGATCGTGTCCATTAATTAACTTGTAAAACCGATTCAACAAAAATCTTTCAGTGTATGTTTTACAGACGAAGATCGAACAAATAGAAGTTCATTATTAGGGTTTCATACATGTTAATGGCTGCTCTCTCTGCTGGGCAAGGCTTGTGGACATTGAGGGAGATGTGACCACCTCTATGTGACAATGCTGGGGCCTTAGCAGCCAATCACCAAGGTTGAATGCTGTCATGTGGGAAGGACATTGACGTCATCCACCTTGGTAGACACCAACCCGATCCAACACCAAAGCGGACTCCAGCAGCAGTGAGGTGACTCGGAAGCACCAAAGTGGTCGAAGATGGTTTACCTGCAGACTCTTTACCCAAACTGTAATTGGATCGGTTGCCACCGGCCTCTGCCCTTTGTAGGTCACCATTGATTGACCTTTGTACTCTCCTACCAATGAATGCTCCATGTTTCATCTTCTGTTTGATTTTCCACGCAGCGCCCGACGATTCTCCGCTAGTCCTCTCCGTGACGCCTCACACCACAACCTCCGTGTTGATTCGCTGGCAGGTAAGGAATATCTTTAAAACTCCTTTTGTGTTTTTTTCTACACCAAGAACGGTTTTGGGAACCCAAAATAACCAACGAGGATTCATTTGTCCCTTCAGGCGCCAACAGAGGACAAGATCAATGGGATTCTCCTAGGCTTTCGCATCCGCTACCGGGAACTGGTGTACGACGGGATGAGAAGTTTTACCGTGCACAACATCAAGAACCCGGACGCCAAATGGGCCGAGCTGACGTGTAAGTTAGAACGACGTCATTGTTAATGTGTAGGACATCGGTGCCTGTAGGGCAAAAAGCAACTCGGTGAAGGAACCCCTAGAGATGGCTAGTGCCGGACATACCGATTTCAGGGTCGAACTTGAGGAATTTGATACTCATAAGATAAACTCCTGATGCTGACTGTTGTGCCCATACGGTGCTTTTTTTGTTGACCACTGAAGGTTCTTACTGTTTAGTGGCCCTCTTACTGCAAATGTGTGACATTCAGGCCATATCTGGGGTGGATACATAATTTATGGGCAGTCTATGCTTCTTGGAGATTGGATTGTTTTTTGACGGTTCAACATTGGTCAAGCTGGGATAGCAATGGATAAGTAAATGACTTTATATTTGTAATTGCAAATGATACATTGAAAAAAATATTGAACACAATCATGCAGTTATCACTTTAAGCTGATCATGTGACTGTAGCGCTCATCAGCTAAGTGGCCGCTGAATTTTGATGGGTCCCCCTAAGCTCTGTAGAGCCAGGCAACACGCACTTTCCACACCTTCACACAAAGAGTCAGTAAAACAGTCTTTGAGCTTGTTTTTGTTAGCAACTTGGATGAGGTTTAGGGGGATGTGGGATGCCAAGAACTGTAAAACTCGAGGACAACTTCTTAGCAAACACTGTACAAAAATGTGGACCAAAAAGTAGCAACTGTCTCTTTAAGGACCATTGATGTCCCCTTTGATGTACCTCCTCAGACCCCTGATTAATCCTTCCTCTTTCACTCTGCTGTCCTGAGGGTATCCCTGGGCAAGGGATTCCAAGATCTGCAATTAATTAGTCCCCGATGAGAACTAGTTGGGTATTGCACCTGACTGCCCTCTCCCCAGGGGGTGTAGAAGTACTCACACTGTCCTGTTCTGTTAGCCTGTTGGGTTGCAGTTGCTTTCAGGCCCTACGCTGGGCTGGCTTCTTCCCTGCTGACAGGATGTTCTCCCTAGACTTGTGGCACAGTGGAGATCCTTCCATCCAGCACCAGCCTGTAGGTACGCTCCCCTCCCCGGGGCCCTCTCCAAGGCTCCACACTCCAGCACCTTCTCTCAGTCCATATTCCATCCAACTCCTCCTGCTACACAGGCTCTGCCACATTTAAGGGTTGTTCTTAGCTGCTATGCCCAGCCTCCTACCTGGGGATTGGCCAAGTTCTCTTAAACATGCAATTCTCCATGCCTCCTCCAATCCTCCATCCTTCCTCCAAAGCGTTTCAGCAGTTTCTGGAAGTGCGGGAGGGCTCCAGAAGCCCTGACCTGTGGAGCCTCCCAGCCTGTGCTGAGGAGACCTCTCTACCTCACTCCCAGGCTGACTCATCCCAGGCTTCTAGCAAGCCTCTGGCTCAAAAATCCTATCTAGCTAAAAACAAGATAGCCCCAGGGGTGGACTGACTATTTAGAAACTTGGGTACTGGCCGAGGGTCCGGGGTCAGTAGGGGGCCTCATGAGATGCCCCTGGTACCTTTTTCATAGGCTTTTTTTAGTTTGGGTAAGGACACAGGGGCCCCATGATCCCTTATTGCCCGGGGGCCCCATGAGTTGTCAGTCCGTCCCTGGATAGCCCCTTCCCAAAATGCCCATACTTGTGTTCCTGCTGCCCCATTTACCTGCGTAAAGGAGAAGTCATCCTATGTGTAAGCTCCTGTAGCTGTAGTTTGGACCTTTCCAGGCTAGCGGTGTTGGTATTTGGCTATTGGGTGTTCCAGCATACTTGGAAGTGCTTGGAAACGTCACTACACTACCGGCAGTCAAGTGGACCAATAGGGGAGCCAAGAGAAGGCAGGTATAAGCAGCCGTGGTTGGGGGAGGGGGTAACCAATTTCTTTCCTTGACAGTGCAAAACATGAGTTTACTACGTAGTGCACCTACCACTTTGCAGTCAGCATTGGACAGCCAATGGTTTGTCCCCTCCTATCGAAGGCCCAGTTGAATCACCTTAAAACACCCCTTCCTTCAATGCTGTTTTTCTGCCCTCCCCCTCCAGTGCTCTATGTTGGCCGAGTAACAGGCACAAGCACAAGAGTTCTCCCGCAGGCTTGTATCGCGGAGTGCCTTTCGCTTTCCGCGGACATAAATTTCATTTTCGGGATCCAGATCTATACGAATCTGTGAATGGGCACAGCAACGAACGCCAACGAGTCTGAAAAAAAGTTATAACAAGATTAACGAATGCATTTGTTTCATTCCGGTGAATTCTTTCACAGCCGAGGTTTTTCCAGAAGTTTACACTTCAACCTTCTTTCACCTTCCAAGGCCACTGGTTTGGAAACAGCGACAACCCTCCCGAGCACGAGGATGTAGCAGGAAACTGTGTCACCGACAGCTTCACACCGACTCTTCTCACCTCTGACGTGTGAAAGGAGACATTGTTAATTAGCAGCATGCTCGGAGTTTACAGTGTGAGAGACGTAACTGCGGACGCGTTGGCATCCCAGCGCCAATCATGGCATCTCACCGCATAGCCCCCCAATGGCCGACCCGCCATTTTGATGTTAGAAAAAATGAAAATTTAAAAAAATAGATGTTCATATTATTCTATATAGAGAAAAAGTGCAGCGCTAGATGTAAATATAACTAGACATATTATAACAATATGCTGAATGAACATAAAATAGCAATAAAATCGAGTGCAAAGTAGTGAATCACACTGGGTGAATTAAAATGAGTGAATGTCCCAAAATGTTTCAAACGCTCACATGGGGAACCGCTAGATCCAATTGAAGTGCGTGAAAACGGGAGTCCGGTGTATCACACAGTGGATAATGGGTATAAAGAATGCGCACTCACCAGAAGTGCATCAAAAATGCGCATATAAGATATCCTCTCTCAGGTAGTGGTCATCTACTGCCAGAACAGGGTCAGAGTAATGCACCATCCAATCTCATCAAGGGTAAGAAATCCAAAAAGGCCTTAGCACTGTGTCACCGTCTGTGGTCCCTCTAAACCGGTTTCTACAAGTGGGGACTCTTGAATTCCATGCATCCAACTGGGAGCCACATGGAGATTCTAGAGCAGTGAGGCAACACGGGGAGCTTGCAATTCTCCAAAGCCAGGTATGTTAGACTTTGTAAACAAAGCAAAGTGGGATGCATGGAATTCACTGGAAGACTTATCCAAGAGTCCCCACTTGCAGAAACCGGTTTAGAGGGACCACAGACGGTGACACAGTGCTAAGGCCTTTTTGGATTACCTACTGTCAGGGCAGGGGCCAAGGAACGGACAGGCAGGCCTAACAATGTAACGCACTGGCTGACGACAACCACCACCCACAGACCGAAGTCCCTCAGGGCGCGGAGTCTAAGTCCCAGGCTGCCCTTCACCAGGGCTCCTGATGGTGGGGATGGACTTGACGCAGCCAGGAACCAGATCGCGGCCCCCGAGAGACCTCAGCTGCGGTAATGGCCGCCGCCAATGGCGTGTAGCTGGTGGAAGAGACAAAAGAGTAGTCAGACAAGCCGGGTCAACAACAACAGGACAAAACAGTACAGGACAGCAGACGAGAATCACAGGTCACGAGCCGGGTTCAGCAACAGAGGGTCAGATCAAAGGAGAATGCAAAGAATAGTCAAGTCACAAGCCGAATCAGATACCAGGAGAGTCACGAGAGTCAGAACAGAGTAATAGCAACACAAAGACACAAGACACAAGTGCAAAGAGCATGTGCGGGCCACAGGCTTATATGTCATCAGCCACACCCCTCTGGGGGATGGACCACAGAGACCTGAAGGCATAAAAGGATTCCCACCATGCACAGCAGAATCCAAGATGGACGCCAGCACATGGAGTAACATAACCTCAGGGAAAAGGTAGGACCTTGACACCTACCCTGGATGAGATTGGATGGTGCATTACTCTGACCCTGTTCTGGCAGTAGATGACCACTACCTGAGAGAGGATATCTTATATGCGCATTTTTGACGCACTTCTGGTGAGTGCGCATTCTTTATACCCATTATCCACTGCGTGATACACCGGACTCCCGTTTTCACGCACTTCAATTGGATCTAGTGGTTCCCCATGTGGGCGTTTGAAACATTTTGGGACATTCACTTATTTTAATTCACCCAGTGTGATTCACTACTTTGCACTCGATTTTATTGCTATTTTATGTCTATTTTATGTTCATTCAGCATATTGTTATATTATGTCTAGTTATATTTACATCTAGCGCTGCACCTTTTCTCTATAAAGATTTATTGGAAGGTTTGTCCTTGGTTGCCTTTTTGGTGTTCTAGCGGCTATTTTCCTTCGTCTCAGATAGCGCTCGCTTACTATTTCTCTACAGTTCATATTATTCTGTTTTGTTTGCTATTACCAGAATAAAGGGTCAGTTCTCTGAAGCATAAGAATGTGGCATTTTCACCGTGCCAGTTATTATCCCATTGAAAGTTATTCTTTCGGTTTTCGTTTTCACCGCACGGCTCAGCTGAAATGATCACATTTGTTTTACGCTTTCAATGTTTGTGGTATTCTCCATGTAAAAAGGTCGCTTGTCATAAGATTATCGCAGGAGTGTTTGCTGCTTATAGAGAATCAGACTGTTGGCCTATTTAGGGTGAAGTGACAGGGTCTCTTTAAAGGCTACCTTCTGACCCACTTATATTTATAGCACCCCCCCCCCCTCCCCCCTGGCACTCCATCTGCCGAAAAATACCGGTGTAAGCTCTATGTTGGAGCTTATACGGGGCAGTGATGTCACACCCCCATCATGTGACAGACCATCAATCATCTGTAAAGGATGAGCTACGGTAAGTAGTCTGGGCCAAACTCAGGTCAGCCCCAACGCGAGGGAACGGTCACATGACAGCATGCCACTAGCCCACTCAGCTCAGCTGCAGCCATGGAATTTCCTGCTTCTCAGGCACAAGTACCAAAGCAGCGATGAAGTCACCCCCCCATCATGTGACAGACCGTCAGTCATCCATGAAGGATGGGTGAAGGTTTGGGCCAAACTCAGATCAGTTCCAAGCTGTGGG